AAAACAAGAGTTTGCATTTGGAAAGAAAGATGGATTTTACAGATTTAGTCCTGAGAGTAACAAATAAATAAAACAATAACAACCTTCAAGAAGTAAAGTAAGAATCCAGAGCTGCTATCATATATTAGCTAAAAATGTTCAGTATTCAACAAAAAGTTGTGATACATTCAAATAAATAAGAAAATGCAAATGTTCCCAAATGTTTGATTTATCAAAGACTACAAAGCAGTTATTATAAATATGTTCAAAAAAGTAAAGGAAATCATGTTTGAAGATTTAAAGAAAAGTATTGCAACAATGACATAATAGAAAATCATAACAAAAAGATAGAAGTCATTTTTTAAAAAAGACCCAAATGAAAATTCAGAAGCTGAAAAGTACAGTAACTGGAAAAAACATTCACTAGAAAAGCTCGGAATAAGCAATGATCAGTAAACTTGAAGCTAGATCAATATGAATTACCCAGTATGAAGAATGAAAGGAAAAAAGACTAGAAGTGGAAGAAAAAAGACTGGAAGACTAGAGCCTGAGAGACCTATGGGACAATATCAAGTATACCAGTATACATGTAATAGGAATTTCAGAAAAGAGAGAGAAAGGGGAAGGAAAAATATTTCAAGAAATAATGGCCAAACACTTTCCAAATTTGATGAAAAACATTAATCTACAGATGAAAGAGGCTCAATGAACCCCAAATTAGTTAACCATAAAGAGATCTATATCCAGACACATTACAGTCAAAATGTTGAAAGTCAAAGGCATTAGTAGCAGCAAGAGGGAAAACAATCCATCACATACAGGAAACAACAATATGATTAACAACTGGTTTGTTTGTTTTTTAATCAGAATCAATGACCTCTAAAGACACTAGAATGGTACAAAGTGCTGAAAGAAAAAGCTCTCAACCAGAAATCCTATAACCAACAGACTCTCTTTCAAAGATGAAGTAAAAATGGCCCTGGCTGTGTGGGTCAGTGGGTTGAATACTCGCCTGTGAACTGAGAAGTCATGGGTTTGATACTTGGTCAGGGTACATGCCTGGGTTGTGGGCCAGGTCCTCCAGTTGGGGGTGTACAAGAGGCAACCACACATTGATGTTTCTCTCCCTCTCTCTCCCTTCCTTCCCCTCTCTCTAAAAAAACAAAAAACATCTTCAATTTTTTTTAACAATTAAAAAAGGAAGTAAAAATATATTTTCAAATAAATGTAGACTGAAGAATTTTTTGGCCACAGACCTATTTTACAAGTAGTACTAATGGAAGTTCTTCAGGCTAAAAGGAAGGAACACCCATAAGTAACTTAAAATCTGATTTCTATAAAGAGCACCAGAAATGGTATATATGTGAATACATATAAAAGACTCTATAAATATATTTTCCTCACTTCTTTAAAAGAAATAAGATTGTATAAGGTAATTTATAATATCATTGGTTTACAATAATTGCTGGGTTTCTCACATATATACAGATAGTGTGTATAACAATAACAGCACAAAAAGGGGAGAGATGAAGAAAATATATTGAAAGAATCCTTCTATATTTTATAAGAATTAATTAGATTTTTATAAGTTAAGGTACACATTGTAATTCCCAGGACAACCGCTAAAAATTTTAATAATATTGTAAAAAGAATTAACAATAAAGAAATTAAAATATTATACTAAAAGTATTTTTTTATTTAATGCAAAAGAATGTAGTAAAGAAAGAACAAAGGAACAAAAATTACACAACGCAATTCAGTTATATCAATAAGCACATTATATGTGAATGGATAAGACATGCCTATTAAAAAGGCTGGGACTGTCAGATTGAATATAAAAGCAAATAGGATGAAAGTAAAAGGATGAAGAAAGATGTATCAGAAAAAAGGATGAAGAAAGAGTAACCATGAGAAAATTTTCCAGATTTAATGAAAGACACGAATCCTCAGACTCAGAGAACACAGATACACATATCACAATGAAACTTCAGAATACCAAAATCAAAGACAAAATCTTAACAGCAATCAGAGAGAAATAAAAATTACCTACAAAGGCAATTTTATTAATGGTAGACTTCTCAACAGCAACAACAGAAGACAGACGACAAAAGAATATCATCAAAACACTGAGAGAAAAATAAATGTAGATCCAGAATTCTATAATAAACTAGATTATGTTTAGTTTACTATTTAGCATTCACTGAAAAATTACAAAGAATGGACTTTAGAAGGAAGAAATGACGTGTAAGAAGATGTAGTGGGGGGATGTAAAGATATAAGTACATATAGTCAACTACTAATAGCATAAAATGTGACAACAACAATAAAGACTAATTTGGAGTGGTAAAAAGAATATGGAACTAAAATACTGGGGACAAGCAGTGTAAAAAGGGAAGAGGAGATCAAAATTAAAGCATCCGAAGGTCTTTCCATTGTTCAGGAGAAGGGTAGACTAAATTGTCAACCTCAGACTTTGCTAACTCAAATATACACATTAAAATTGTAAGAGTAACCATAAAGGATAAAAACAGAATAATAACTGCCAAGCCAGTGTGATATTTGGTGGGAAGAAAAATGAAGAAAACTCAATTGACCCAAAAGAAGGCCATAAAGAAGCATCACCCAGAAGGCAGGACATATAAAAGGTAGGATGTCAGAAATAAATCTAACTATATTAGTAAATCACAATAAATATAAATGTACTAAACTGTCAAGGACTTGTTGGAATGCATATTTAAAAATCTAGCTATAAGCTATCTACAAAAGATATACATAAAACCTAAGAGGACAAAATGCTTTTGAAAGATGGAAAAAGATGTTCTGAGGAAATACTAAACAAAAACATAGACTTAGGGGCAAAAAACATTATTATAGATAACAGGATGACATCTCTAGTGTGTTAAACCTGCTTCATCTTCTATAAAGCAAAGATTATAAGCTATACCTCCCAGGAGAAATATGTAATGTATACCCAAAGTGGAAAAGGAGGAGGAGGGGAGGAGGAAGAGGAGGAAACAGAGAGGAGAAATAGGGAACGTTGGGATGGGAAGGACTAAAATTTACATTTTACAATATTTGGGAAAAGACTCGAAAGAACTGAGGGAGTGATCCATGGGAGTGTCTGGGAAGGAGAGATCTAGGCGGAGGGAGCAGCAAATGCAGAGGCCCTAAGACTGGGGCACGCCTGCCCTGTCCCTGAGGCGGCAAGGGGGCCAGCGTGGCTGGGGCGGATGACGGGAGGGAGCAGTGTGAGGAGAGGAACTCAGGGTAGCAAGAGCCAGATTACGCAGGGCCTTATACGTCACAGTAAAGTCCTTGACTATTCCTCTCAGTAAGCTGAGGGTTTTGAGCGAACAGCATTCTGTATTTAAGTGGTCCCTCTGACTATATTGGGAGAGAATGAAGCGAACGAGGACAAGCGCAGGAGACCAACTAGAAGGCAGTGCAACAGTCCAGACAAAAGAACATGGTGGCAGGGGAGGTACTGAGGACCGGCGGGAGCCTGGCTATGCTTTGAAGGCAGGACCAGCAGGATTTGCTGAAGGATCAATGTGGGATGGGAAAGAGAAGGAAGCCAAGACTGACAAAAGCTCTTAGACCAGAGCTCCTGGAAAGAGAAAGTTGCCGTTACCCAAAATGGAGGAGACATCGATGGAGCAGGGAACCTGGGGGAAAGGGTAACAGCAGTTTAGTTTTAGACATCTTAAGTTTGAGATGCCTAATAAACATCTAAGTGATATTTTAATATACCATTAGATAAGCATGCCTGGCATTTACGGGAGGGTGTGAGCCACACATAGACATTTGGGACTCATCAGACTCTCAAAATAATCAAAGTCATGAGCCTGGATGAGATGAGCTCACCCAAGAAGTAAGTGTAGCCAGAAGTCCAGGAACTAAGCCCTGAGAAGCTTCAGTGTTCAGATCCTGGAGAGATGCAGGCACAGACAGGATAAATAATCAGAGGCAGAATCTAGAACCTAAAAGATGTGGGGTCCTCCAAGCCAACTGAGTAGGGTGTTTCAGGAAGGAAAGTTTCATCGCCTGTGCCGGATGCCGCTGACTGGTCAGGTAAAACAAGAACTGCCTATTCACTAGTGGGTTTAGCAACAGAGGCTGGTCTGATGTGAAAAGATAACTCTGCCAATCAGATTCCCAGATTCAGGAAATGTAGCAAAGAAATGCTGAGAGACTGCAGCAGCAAAGGATAGGAGCCAACGCAGACAGCCTTTTGCATTGGTTTTTGCGTGGCTTTTTTCCCCCAGCAAACAGTAAAAACTAACCAACCTTTACGGACTGCTGGCTATGTGCCAAGAACACTATTATGAAGCCTATTTTTAAATAGGGGCTCAAAAAGTCAAGTAACTTGCCCCTGGTCACTCAGCTGGTAAGGAGCTGAGCTGGAATTTAAACCCATCTCATCCATTTAATTACTAAACTGCCTGCTTCCCTTCGGTTAAGGGAAAGTCTACACTTAGATATGGAACTCACAATGGTAAAATACCAATTTGGGACCATCTACCTTGTGTTCGCGTACATTTTCTCACTGAATGATCACAAAACCCCTGTGAGATAAGTATCACTGCTACTTGTCATTTTAAAGATGAGAAAACAGGGGCGCTGAGAGACATCTTGCTGGTGGTCCCACAGGTTGAGGTGGTGGGCAAAGACCTCAGGCGCAGCTCATCTGCGACCACAGCCGTCTGCCCTCCTGTGCAACCGATCCTGCCTTTTGCATCAGAAGCGCTGGGAGCAATCAGGCCAGGACGGGCTGGGGAACCTGAGAGGACTAAGGTTGCCCTTACAGGCTCGTCGCTTTGAGGACACTTGGTTTTTAAGGATGTGACCCTGAGATTCCCTGTCCAAATCAGGTCCAGGAGTCCCAGGGCAGCCTTTCTAGCGCCCCAGAATCAGGCCTATGCTCTCTGCCTAACCAGACCCTTGATGTCAAGGTCTAGGCCAAGCATGGGACCCAATCCCCTTCCCGCCCTTTCCTTCAGGCAGGCTGGGCCTCTCCCTACCTGTCCGGTGGTGAGGGACCGGCTGTAGCCAGGGATGGAGCTCCGGGGATGGATCCGGGGTGGGACGCAGCAGCTGGGAAAGGTCAAAATTCCAGATTCAGAATGGGGGTCAGGGGAAGGGAATGAGAGCCCCGGGGCCCCAAGCAGGTCCTATCCCTCAGAGACCCCCAGACAGATATGCCACAGAAGACTCCTGGGTAAAGGGATCCTCCCAAAGAGGCTCCCAGAGGCTATCCCAACGGCCCAACTGAGCCTGAAGGAGGGACCAGACTGGTACTCACTCCACACACATCTCCTGCTGGGACCCAGTATCTGCTTCCTGTTCCCCCTGCCCTCCCCGCCACCCAGGCCCTCCCACTCCTTACTTGATCCGGGCCTGGTCCACACTGGAGGAGCGGCGGGAGGTGAAGCGCCGAGCCACCGCTTTGGGAGATGTCTTGGGGCTGCCGTCTGAGTCTCCGCTCTCCTCATCCCCCATGGCTTTTATGTAGCTGCCGCTCCGCATCCTGCGGCAGGGGATCTCCCCATCCTTGCCCCCGGTTGGGTAACCCCCCCAGTCATCTTGCGGCACCTGCAGGGACAGGGGCCTCTGTCTCTCAGAAACATCCCTACTGCATCTGCAGGCCAGGACCCTCTTCCCCACTCCCAGTGAGAGCGGCTCCACTCGGACCTGGGCCGGCCAGGCTCAGGAGCCTACAGACCCAGAGCAGGAGACAGGTCTCCGGCCATCTCCTCCCTACAGGAGACGCCTCACCATCCTGCAGGAACATTTTGCCACTCATCTGAGGGACACCTACAGAGCCTGGGTAGGCAGTGATGTGCTAGGTGCCAAAAGGTTGAAGATCAGAGGCCAAGGTGACCCGTCAACCCACCCCCAACAGCAAAGTATCACCTGACCTCAGTCGCCTGTCACCTTTCCTTGTCCTTCATCCTCATAACCTGCTTCTAGCCCCAAACCTCCATCTCTCCTGCCTTTCTGCTGTGAGGAGCCATAGAGGGTTTTAATCAGGGGAGTGACACCAGGTTTGTGTTTCAGAAAGAGCATCCCAACAGCCCAAACAGGGGTTGGATTGCGGAGGGCGAGGCTCAAGTGGCGGGAGAGAAACCAATTAGGAGGCTGATGCTGTTATCCAGGCAAGAGATGATGAGGCCTAAATTAAGACAATGACAATGAGGAGGAAGAGAAGATGGAAATGAGAGGTGTTAAGGAGCATCAGAGAGCCTGATTAGATGTGGGGGGTGCGGGGGCGGGGAGTCGAGGATGACTGGGAGGCTGCTGGCGAGGACCTGGAGGGCGGTGCTCTCGCTCACTGAGCTACAGAATCCCGGAGAAACAGGTTTGGGGCGGGCCGGCGGGGGGAGGTGATGGGCTCAGGGTTGAGCATCTTGAGTTTGGCAGAGGACTGTCGAGCAGGTGGTTAGATGCTTGGTTCTGCAGTTCCATGGAGAGAGCTGGGCTGGAGGCAGACACGTGGGAGTCATGGGCGGCAGCTGAATCCATAGGACTGAATGAAAGAGCCCCCGGGGGTGGCGGGCGGGGGGGAGAACTGGGGAGGGATCTACTGACATTTAAAAAGGGACTGCAAAGAAAGGAAGAGGAGCCTTTGAGGTCACCTGCAAAGGAGTGGGCAGAAGGGTAGGAGGGAAGTCAGGAGAATGACATGTCATGGAAACTGGAGACATTTCCAGAATAAAAGGAGTTGATAATGTCAAATGTCAAGTGTGTTCAGAGGTTAGTAATTCAAGCTCAGGAGTTAGATCTATGTTCAAATTCTGGCCCCATCACTTGCTAACGAGGTGAACTTAAACAAAACCGATTACTCTCTAAGCCTCAAGTTTCCTCATCTGTGAATTGATAATGATAATTATGCCTACATCCCAGGGTTGGTGGGCAGGATAAGTGTGCCACTATAGCGTGCCAGCACATAGTAAGTGCTCAATAAATGCCAACTATTATTATTCCAAGCTTCAAAGGGTACCTTTCAAGGAAGGCTCTCAAGAGACCACTGCCGGGACATTTTAGAGCATGGGGTGTGGAAGTCAGACTGTAGTAAAGGGCAGAACGAAAGGAACAGAAGAAGTGGTGTCCCTAGTCTAAGAACTTGGTTATGAAGGGAAGATAGGAGATGGAAGGGGGAATAGGGTTAAGGAAAGATTGTTTTTCTAGGATGAGAGACCTGGGCATGTTTTCAGGATGAGGAAAAGAGCCAGTTAAAACAGTCTTTAGATGTGGGGAGGGAGGAGTACAGACAGTTCAGTGGTAGAGGATCCTGGGGAGACAGGGTAAAGCCATGTTACAGGCATCAGGCTGGGATGTGTGGTCCTGGTGTCTCTGGAGCCAAGAAGGAAGGGCGTGAGGGTGGCTGGGGGTCTATGTGAGTCTATAGGTGGGGCTGACAGAAAAGTGAGGGAGTCCGTGATTGTTAGCTTACACTGTAAATAAAGGTGCAGGGGAGGGGTCTGGGGCAGGGAGGGAAGATTTAAAACACCTGTTATTAAACAATAGGTTAAATTGGGGTGGGATGGAAGGTCTGAGAGGGTCAGAGTTCAGGGGAGAGAAAGAGACTCTGGGGATGAGACTAGGTAAGGAGACAGAGATGATGTGCACACAGGGACCCAGGGATGCAGATGGGGCCCCATGAAGGAACTCACAGGGACACACAGGCCTGAGGGAGAGCTGGGGTCCAGTGAGAACAGTCTCCATAAATGGTTTGAGGACCCAGCAACACCTAGTCTGATGGGGTCTGCTTCCCCTGCTTTGTTTTTGTGCCGGGGGAGCACCAGGCTGTCTGGAAGGTCCCTGAATCCCTCTGTTCTCCCCCAAATGGGTTCAAAGCCCCCCAGTCTTAAGATGCTCTAGAACCCTAGACCCTGATGGATCATTTCCCTTCCCTGCTCCACAGAGAGGAGCCACAGGCAGGCAGAGAGAGGCAGGCTGGCCAATGGGACAGCCGAGGCGCACTCTGCCACACTGCAGGGTTCCCACTCTGTAGCCACTGCGGAGCTCCTGGCTCCTCTGCAGGACATTGTGAGGTGCATATTAACGAGGAAGCCCCCAGGGAGGTCACCGCTCGGCCCTGGAGTAGCAGCAGGGAGCAGCGGAGTGGCAGCGAGTCTCCAGAAATGACCAGGGCTCGGTTATGGGAGAAGGGTCAGTCCTCCCTCCTTAGCCCTTCTTTTTGGACCCTTCAATTGCCAACTTAGAGAACCTCTCTATCCATGGAGGAAGCAATCCAAGGCCAGACCCGCAGTCCTGAATCCTAGCAGTCTCCAACCTCCCATTCTGTCTCCCACCCCTTCCTGCTTCCACTGTGACCCATTTGTTCCCTTGAGCTTTCGCGAGGTCCCCACCAGGAGAGTCTACACATGTGAACAACTCACCAGTAAGACCAGGGACACCCAAGACATATGCGAGCTCAATTCCCACACCTTTGAACATGCTGTGGCTTCTTTCTAGTGCTCTTAATCCTTAATCCACTCCCTAGCGCTCTTAATCCTTAATCTACTTCCGCACTGAGATTCAGTTCAGGGGACATTCTTCCCAAAGCTGCTCTGGCCACTATCACCCCAGGGTAGGTGAGACACCTCCTCTCTGCCCCCATGGTGCCCACCGCTCTCTCCTGTCACAGCCTTATCGCACTGAATTCTATCTGCTCCTTTACCTGTCCCACCTCTAAACTGAGCTCCTCACAAGCAGCATCTGGGTCTTCGTCTTTGTATCCACAGCACCCAGGAAACACTCACTGAATGACTGTGGCCAGTCATCATCAACGGATGACTGTGGATTAACTATGTGGAATGTGGGTTTGGGGGATAACCCTAAATCTGCGAGACTTCTAGAATTTGTATTGAGTTGTCCTCCTGAAACTATGAGAAGGCTCAAGAAAACATCTCAGGGGGTGTGGGCGGGATGCCTGAGGCAGAGAAGAGGAAGGGTAGTGGCGCAGTGGGCCCCTGGCCCCATCTCAGTAAGAAGACGGAGCATGGGCAGGTGGGATGGATGAAGGCAGGCTCCAAGAGGAGGAGTCGCAGCGTCTAGTCTCATCTGCAGAGACCATGGACACAGTGAGACAGGTTGGGGACAGCATGCCAGCTGCACCATCCAATCCCAGAGGCCCCGTCCTGGCTCAGACTTCAGCGTGACCCCCACCCAGCCTTGAAGAACCCACGGGACAGGCTCCAGGGCTCTTCCATAACCTCATGGGTGTCCTACCACAGGCACCCAGAATGACAAACCTCAGCAGAGGCAAGTCCTGGAGCTGACCTTCGTATTCCAGCAGTATCTGGACCACCCAGATTTGAGAAGAAAAGAGGCCTGGAGAAGGCCTGGGGGCAAGAGAGCTGCTTTCCAAGTGCTGACCTCCAGCCTCAAGGGAAGCCACAACCATGGAGCCCCACACTGTCCTGTCCACGGCCTGCCCTCACCCTCATTCTGCCTCCAGCCTCACAAGACAGAGGCCAGCACAGCTTCTCCAAAACAGTCAGTCAAGGGGGGAGTTTTCCTGGCACTGACGCACACGTGAGAACAGAAGGGCCCCTTTGTTGCACAAATGGGGAAACTGAGTTCCCAAAAGGGGCTCACGGTCTTACAGAATAAGGCAGGGCAGAACCTCCCTGCGTCCAGACCCTCTATCACGGCGACAGCGGGCTCCCATCTGACCCTTCCCACAGCTTACTGGGTGACGACGCTATGGGGGCTGACGACCGTGTTCCCCACCCCCACCAAAGCCTCACCTGCAGATAGTGATAAGTCCTGGTTTTGGCCTTGGCCTCTGGACCCAGGAGCCCCTTGCCTGGCCCGGCCCCTGGGTAGCCATCCCGGCCCTGGCCGACCATCATGGTATGCCAGGCACTTCGCTTGACCGATTGTCCATCCAGTGACATGGACATGCCAGTGCAGGCAAGACAGCGGCCTTCTGACCCACCCGAGCGCCCCTTGAAGCTCAAGTCCCGGTAGGACCCATCTGGAGCCTCCAAGCAGAAGGGGCCACCTGGCTCCCCAGGAGGCCGCCCACCCGCCAGGAAGCCGCTATCACTGTCCAAGTTGTCATCCGAGCTCCACCAGCCCGCGGCCTTGGCCCGGTGCCGCCCGTCCCCCTTGCGGTCCTTGCTCTTGCTCCTCTTGCCGTGCCGGGACTGGTGGTGGTGGTGGTGGTGGTGGTGGTGGTGGTGGTGGGAGGTGTGGGGTCCTCCAGAGCCCGGGCCAGAGTAGCTGTCTCCCCCGGAGCCACCTCTTCCGTCAGCCTTGGGCCCATTGTAGTCCCGCTTCCCTGGGGCCTCCAGAGAGTGGGACTTGGCGAAGAGCTTCTGCACAGAGTGAACCAGATGCCGGATGCGGCTGGGGCTCTCACTGCGGGCCTCCGGGGCAGAGCCAGACCCCGGCCCTGGCCCAGGCCCTGCTCCTGCTGGACCTCGCTGGTACGGTAGTGTGTGGAAGCCATCCTGTTGAACTGGCAGCTGCTTTTCAAACTGGTCCAGGAGTGTAGGAGGCAGGCGGGGGGCACCCTTGCCCTGTGGGTGGCCCACGCAGTCTTCACAGGTGTCGAAGGGGCCCTGGCCGGGGTACATCCTGGGGAAGGTGCTGCTACCCACCCCAACTCCAGTCCCCCCTGGCCCTCCCTCGGGGCCTACCGATGGCCCCTCACTCAGGCTCAGAGGCCCTTCGGGAGAAAGATGTCCCAGGCCAGCTCTCGGGGCACAGAAGCGGGGCTCGGTGGAGAAGGCCTCCCCGGAGCCCAGCAGGTACGGGGCCCTGGCAGCTGGGCCCACGTCCATATGCTGTTGGTCAGCAAAGCGGGCTGGGCGGGGATGGCTGCCTCGGTCGCCATGGTAACCCCTCATGGCCTCAGCAAGGGCTCTTCATAGTGTTGGGGGCCAGGCCCCAGGAACCTCCTAGGGAAACAGGGAGAAAAGGGATTCAGATTGAACAATAGGCCGCTTTACCTAAAACTATCTTTTATTAGGTATTCTGGTATCCTTTTAGGTAATGCGTATCAATTTATGGTGATTAATTGTACTGTCTTTCTACCAATGGGCTTAAAGTCCTTAAAAGAGTCATACTAGACAAAGACACTCACAAGGGCAAACATAATACCATCATTCATCAAATGCTGCAAATTTGATACTTATTCACAAGAGGAAATGCCCTCAGCCAAATGTGTTTTTTTAAATCCCAGGGTTATCAAAAATAAAAGGGTACCCACACAGATGTACAAAATATTCAGAGAAACCAGTCATTAGGTGAACTGGCTTTTAACAAGCAGACTTTAGGCAAATTGATCCAGAGCCACACCTCTGACCTATCCCTACCCTCTGGCACTGCGGTGACGAGCCAGGCCTCAGGGTCACAGCTCCCAGCAGCAATAACCAAAGGGAACACAGACCCAAGTCTCTGTATCTAGCTTGATTAAGCAGGAAAACCCCTCCCTTTTCTTCCACACCCTGTTCCTTCCATCTGGCTGCAGGCTCATTCTCCCTCCCTGCCAGGACTGAGGTAAGAAGAAATAACGTGAGATGATTCCTTTCCTCTTCCGGGTTTCAAATACCCCCCAGTGAAATTTCCCCTTTTGCCTTTCACTCCCACCTGCCACCCCCATTCCACTAGAGGGAATCATGAAGGGAAGAGAAACCACAAATGAGAGGAATGTACAAGGCGGCATCTGAATCCTAAACTGGGACTGGAACCCAGGAGTCCCCCCTCCCAGGAACAGCGGGCTTGCAGGGCTGGGAGGTGATGGAGAGAAAACGCTGGAAGCAGTGCCCCTGGCCCCCATCCCAGGCTTGCCAAGGCTACAGGACAGAGAGGTCAGCTCTCAGCAAGAACTGCCTCCAATCAGGACTCCAGAGCTGCCAGGACAGGAGCTATGGCAGGAGGGGGTGACAGCAGGAGGAACAGGGACTGAGAGGCTGGCAGACGGCGCCCTCCCTCATCCCAGACCAGGCTCCTGGGCCATCTGCTGACTAGGAGGGGATAACAGCCTCAAAGGCTCCAGACAGCAACCCCTTCAAGACTCATCCTCCCTTGCTCCCTTCTACCACCTCCCAATGCCCACCATGTTTCAGGCTTCCTCCAGACCCTGCTCACAGCTCACCTCCCATTCCCCAAGCCCTTGCTATGTCCCAGGTACTGCGCATAACTAATATTCCCTAATCCCACTGATATGCTGTGTGTAGATATTATCCACATTTACCCAGGAGAACACTGAGCTCAAAAGGTGCAGTCACAAAGCCAGTAAGTGGGTGAGTCACTTTAAATCAAGATTCAAACCCAAGTTTCTCTGATTATAGAACCTCAATCTAATCCCATCTCCCAGACTCTTATCACTCACCATCCTGGACGTCCCATCCTTGGTATCAGGATCGCCACCACCAGGCAGATTCCTAACTTCAGAAGGCTCAGGACCACTGGCTCCTGATGGGAAAGAAAAGACTGGTGAAGGGCGCAAAGGGGAGAGATTCCCCCAGAGTCTTCAGAGAACCAGCCTCTGGCCTTGACTGGTTCGCTTCCCACCCCCACCCCCAGACGAGGACTGACTGTATTCCCCATGATGCAGAGCCTTTGGACCCCCAGGGAAATGAGGTTGGCTTCATTATGCAAATACATGGAAATGAGCGTACAGGTTGGACTACCTCCAAGCGCAGGTGTCTTAGAGATCTGTCTATGGTGCTGAGCCACTGCATTTTCATTGCCCTCAAATACGATTCTGTTCCACAAAAATTGGTTCAGCGGCTACCATAAACAAGACTCTGAGTGAGAAGTGTGTAGAGGAGATATAAGTGTGATCCCTGTCATCGAGGGGCTTATAGTCTAACCGGGAACAACCTCTTACATAACAGGGTTATTTTAGGTCCCTGTATTTTTATACAAACTGGTCCCTCCTCCTAGAATCTCCTTTCATCCACCTCCCTCCCCCAACTCTTTCCCTTTCCCACTTGCTCATATTAAGCCCCACCTTCCCTCAAAGACTTTCTGTACTCTTATTCTGGGTTATGCCTCTCTATTGGGCTTTTATAACACCCTGGGTTCCCCATGAAAGTAGCTATCATACTGCACTGAAATCGTCTGCTTCAGTTTCTGTCTTCCCAAGTAGAATGTGGTCTTCTGCAGGGTAGGAACCAAATCCTATTTATTTATCTCTGAATCTCCAGCACCTAACCCAGGGATTTGCCCAAAGCAGACCCTTAATAAATGTTCACTAAGTAGATGAATAAGTGAATGCATTGGAAAGAGGTACCAAGATGTTAGGTTAAGTCAGATGAGAGCAAGACCAGATGTAATAGAGGGAAACTGAGGAAGACTTCCCAAAGTAGAGTATGTTTGAGACGGGAACAAGATGGCTGTGTGTCCCATGGACAAACGCAGTGGGAGAGACAGAATTCCCAGTGGTGGAAACAGCAGCCACAAAGGCAGAAAAGGTGGGCAAACAAGGAATTCTGAGGGGTGGAGTAGGAGAGTTCCAGCAGACGTTTAGGGTTTGGCAAATACTGTCAAGAGGTAGGAGAGAGAGAGAGTCAGAAAGGAAGACAACTCTAACATTTGCAACAGCCGTGACTGGAAGACTAATGATGCCATTATTAGACACAGGGATATCAGGAAGAAGAGCCAGCTTTGCAGGCATGATTAATAGTAGTGGGAGAGATGCAGTCAGACATCAGGAAGAACTTCCTGACCCCAAGGGATGAGACAGTGAAGGAGATTGTGGAGTCTCCTGGGAATCTTCCACAAAGGAGAGGGTGAGACACACCCCACTCTGTCCACCCTGTGGCTTGGGCTGGAGAAGCCATTGGTTTTCTTGCCTGGAGGGAAACTGGGTGACCTCATAGATACCAACTGCCTGGCTCTAGGTGACAATTCTCCTCTGTTTCCCATCTCTGGGAAAGCAGAGGTGACTTCAGACCAAGATAGTATCGCAAGCCGGTATTGGAAAAGCACCTGGCAGCATCTCCTTCCTTTAGAAAGAATCTTGGAGAGTCTGGTTCTTCATCCATGGTGTGGTCCTCCTCTTCCCACCTCAGACAGGACCTGCATCTGGGACTCACAGCAGGAAAGGCCACTTCGGCAGAAACCAAGGCCGTCTTATTTGCTTTGCTTGTGGTCACATCAAGCTGGAGCCTCATGCTGAGCTTCCCAGGGGTGGGCATTCCCAGAAGCACCACCCCCACCTCACTCTCACCCCACACAGGTGCTGCTGTCAAGCCACTGAGCCTTCGTCAACATCTTGTCAAAGGTCAGTCTCTTTAGCATCAATCCTCATTCTCCCCGCTCTAGCCTCAGGGGAGATGGGTCCTTGCAATTGCTCCTCTCCAAAAAACCCACCAACTCCCTTACCCATGTCTGATAGGACAGCACTGTCTAGTGGAAAAAGCACAAGCTCTGAGACCAGAAGGTATGCGACACTAGCCAAAAGACCTACCCTTGTAAGCCTAATGATGCCTGCTCACCTATCTCCCAAGATTTTAATAGCAAATTATATAATGTATATGAAACCACTTTAAAAACTCTGAAAGGTTACACAATGTAAACCTCTTATGTAAAAGCCTTTATTCTGGATTTCCAAAATTTCCAATGTCCAAATAGTAAACAAGACAAATCCAAATTACTAAGAGAAGGAGATACCCAATTTATGGATTTACTAAAGAAAAGATTTAATTGATATTGATTTAATGCTATAGGTTTTCTCCTTAGTATTGTTTTACGATCACATTCTTCCTGACGCCACCTTAGTGCTAAACATAATTAATAAGAAGGAAGAACAAAGAGACTAACAATTTGATTCATCACCAAGTGCTCTGGTTTTTGCTTCCTAACAACAGATCTGCCCACCTATTTCCATACCCACCAAATCATTGTTAGCTGACTAGCTGAAATTCATTGTCAACCTCCTGTCCCCTTACCCAGCCTCCCTTGGAACTAGGGGACACATGATTCACTTTTAGCTAACGATATATACATAAAAATTGGATAAGGCTTTTGAGGGAAGATTTTAGATTTGTGATAGAAGGGAATAAAGCTTGCTAATACCACCCCCCCACACCACCACCCTCTTTCTTCTAGGCCCGAATACAACGGTGATGCCAGAGCGAGGGCACCTGTCCTGCCACCACAAGAGAAAAGCCTAGAGAACTGCAGAAATGCTAGTCTTGGAGATAGTGAGCCACGGAACTAACACAAGCAGTTGCCTTCCTCCAGGCCTAAACGTGGTAAGAAATAGACTCTGTATTTAAATCACTGTTGGCCAGATTTTCTGTATTTGCAGCAGAAAGCACTGCTAACTAATCCAACTACCTCAAAAACATCGCCTCCTGCCTAGACATCTGCAAAAGCTCCAAACTGCTCTCCCTGCTTCTGTTCTTACCCTAACGCAATCCCAAATGGTCACTGGAAAACACAACAAATCTCATGATGTCACTTGCCTGCTTAAAACTCTTCATTGGCTTCCTGATGTCCTTAAGATAAAACACCTTAAGCTGTCCAACAAGGCCTGCAGGGTCTGGCCCTTCCTAATTTGCTCAACTCCTCTCGCAACATGCTCCCCCCACTTCCTCTGCTCCAGCCAGGCCGGTCTTTTTGCAGTCCCAGGATCCCTCCCATCATGGGGCCTGTTGCCCCTGTCCAGAAAGCTTTGCCCGCCCACCCCTGCCTTGCTAACTCCTACACACCCTTCAGATCTCAGCCCAGTTGTTGCTTGCTGGGGAAGCTTTCTCTGGCCTCCCTGACTAGGTCAGATCCCCCTGCTGTTTGCTCTCAAGGCACGGTGGACCTGGATAGCTCTTAAATCATTACCATTCGCAATCTGAGGGACTCAGGGACTGTCTTTCTCTCCCGCTAGGATGTAAACTCCATGCAAGTGCAGGAATTTCATCCATCTTATTACTGCATTGTCCCCAGACCCTAGAACAAGAACAAGGCTTGGCATATGACAGGTGTTTGGTGAGTGAATGTGAGCCTACTAAGAACAAGATCCTTTCACTTACGACATTTTTCTTTAATTCCTACAACTATTCCAGAGGATAGATATTATCCCTCTTCCCAATTTACAGAAGAAGAAACCGAGGCTTGAAGAGGCTAACTGACCTGCCTAAGGTCACAGAGTTGGCGCAGAGCCAGAAGTCAAACCCAGTGCGGCCTCACGCCCATGCCCTAGCTTTTCTCCCACCTGCGACGCCAGCCCGGAGCAGCCGAGCTCATTCAGCGCCATTCTGAAGTACACACAGTAATGAAAATGACATTTTTTAAAAAGGAAACAAATAAAACAGCCTCACACATACCACATACTCTAGAGCTAACCAGACTGTGGTTTAGCCTTTTCCCCTGTGTGGTGAGTACGGAGTTTGTTCCAAGTCCAAGGTCAGATAAGTAAGGAATAAAGGAAACTCCCTGCAGCCCTGTAACAACTCTGGGTGCTGGTGTTATGTTCTCCATTTTCCTGCTCCAAGTCCTGTCTCTGCAATCCCAGGACACAGAGAGCTGCCCACATGGTGAACCTCTCGACCCAGGGAAGCATTCACTTTTTAATTGCCTGTGGCCGGCTGGCAAGTGGGGAGTGAAGGAGTCTGGGAGAGTGGCATGTGTGACGAATTCTCTGATGCAGCTCGAATCTATCTGGGAATGGAAGCAGTGGCACACATGCCGTCACCAAGAAATTACCCAATTTAGCACCAGCTACACAATCCAGCAATTAGTTTCCTAAACCGGAACTTGCTGGGGGCTGCCAGGCTGGCGGGGTTGTTGTTACAAACCTCACTGGGAAACCAGCTGTGTAATTCACCAGGAGGTTGTCACTGCCCCAAGCAATTACCTTCCAGAAAAAGAATGGAAAATGAGGGAAGGAAAGGACTGCAAGGAAGGAGTCAGGGCGTTTTCTTCTCCCCCAGGGCCCTGTCCAGCCAGATGGGTTAACTTTCCTTTCTCGAGACCTAGGCAACTCACAGACTCCCTGGATCATGGCACTTATTGTTGAAGACTCTGAGTCTTCAGCAATAAGTTGAAGGGGAAAACAGTAAGTTGAAAGGGGGGAAAGTCCCTTTCCCCGCACTCGAGCTATATTTACTTGGGCAGGTGATTCATCTCCCTTAGCTTATTTTCTCATCTGTAAAATGGGGATGATAATAGAGCCATCAGAAAGGTACTAATGATATGATGCTTAATGAGGTAAAGCACATAAATCCCTTAGCACTGTACCATGCTGAATACTCAATGAGGGTAGCGATCATTATATGTACTTTCATTTTCATGACTGTCATTGGTTTACAGTGTGTCCTTGGCTAGGTCACTTAATCTCTGTGGGGCAGCCATATGAGACCAAAGGTATTCTGCTGAGGAAAAAAAAAAACAGTTCTCACTCAAGACTGTCCACACCCGGGCACCTAGGCATCCAAGTGTGTTTGTCAGTGTTTCAGAGGTTGACACAA